TGAAGGGCAGAGGTTCCATCCACTGACATGGAGAAGAATGCGAGAGAAGCAGGTTTTGAGGAGGTTGCTCAAGAGCTCAGTTTTGGACAAAGTAGGTTGGAGATGACTACCAAACATCCAAGCGGAGATGCCAAGTAGGTGGTTGAATATATAGTTCTGGAGTTCAGGAGAATGCTCTAGTCTGGAGACATATATTTGGCCACTGCTGTAGGTAGAACAATGTCCTCCCAAAAGATGCTCAAGGGCTAATCCTCAGAACCTGTGAACATATTTCCTTACATGGCAAAAAAAAGGGCTTTGCAGATGTGATTAAGGGGATGGACCTTGAGATGGGTGATTATCCTGGATTATCTGGGCAGGCCCAATGGAATCAAATGGGTCCTTACAAGCAGAGGACTCTTCCTGCTGTGGCCAAAGAAGGCTCCGAGAGATAACATTTTGTGGGCTTTGAAAATAGAGGAAGTAGCCACAAGCTCAGAAATGCAGGTAGCATCTAGAAGCTGAAAAAGGCAAGGAAACAGATTCTTCCCTAGAACCTCTAGAAAGGAGGGCAGCCCCGCTGACTGGCTGATTTCAGCTTAGTGAGATCCATGTCAGACAGTTGACCTAAAAACTGCAAAATGAATTCATGTTGTTTTAAGCCACTATAGACAATTAATGCCAACATCATCAATATAGAGATGATATTTAAATCCATAAGAGTGGAATGATTAGAGACAGAGGGAGAAGATGTCTTGGGACTGAGCCTTGGGGTATTTGAATGTTAAGTCAGGGAAATGAGGACCCAACAGGGACGACTGAGAAGCAAGGGACACAAGACAGGAGACAAACAGGAGAGAATGGTGTTCTGGAAGTCAAGAATCTGTGTCACATGCTGCTATATGGTTACATGAAATGGAGATCAAATTAGGAAACAAAGACAGAACAGGGACAGCATACATGCTCAGGCCAGCTGCTACAGAGAAGGAAGAAAGTGGACCCTGGTACTTACTACAGGAGAGACAGGCAGGGTACAGTGGCTCATACCTATAACCCCAGCACTCTGGAAGGCTGAGATGATGGGAGGATTGCCTGAGTCCAGGAGTTCAAAATCAGCCTGGTTAACAGGGCAAGATCCCCATCTCTTAAAAAAAAAAAATACAAAAATTAGCTGGGGGTGGTGGCACACAAGTGTAGTCCCAGCTACTCGGGAGGCTGAGATGAGAGGATTGCTTAAGCCTGGAGGTTGAGGCTGCAGTGAGCTGTGATTGCCTCACTGCATGCCAGCCTGAGCAACGGAGGGAGACCTTGTCTCAAAAACAAACAAAACAAAAACCCACGGAAGAAGCACATGAATGGCACACACTCAGAGTACTGACTCTTTTATACACAGGGACTCTGGTCACTAGGAAACTTGGCCCAACTAAAATACTAGAATATTTCCAAACACATTGGCACTCTTTCCCCTTGTGGAGGGAGGATGCGAAAGTCAGTAGTAGAACAGGAAAGAAGAGAAAAGAGAAACAGAATCAACTTTCAACTCTCTCTTACATTATTGCCTTTCCTTTTACTACCCAACATAGTCTTAGCCCTCCAGGGCCCTCACTTGATAAATGTCGTATTCCCTAAGCCCAAGGGAGTTAACATAACAGCTCAAGACCAGAATATCATTTTCTCTTAAAGAAAGTATGATCTCATCCAAATTAAAATACATAACCTTCCAGTACCTGGCATTTTATGTCAATCATAGCTTCAGACAAGGTTTTATGTTTTGCCTTTCTTCGCCTCGAAACTCAAAAGCTGGCTGATCATCTGTGAGAGACTGACTGAAGTCAGGCAAGGAGAACCCTTGTGACTTCAGACAAATATAGCCCTTATCACACTGTCTCACAATGACTTGTAATTGTTTGTGTACCTGTTCATCTTCTTCACCAGATCTGAGTCCTTAGAGAGGGGAGACTGTGCCTTTTCATCACTGAATTACAAGAAAAATAATTCACAAACTGCCCATTCATTGAACTTGTCATACGTGTCAGACATGGTGCTAATTGCTTTCAGGCATTTAATTGTCAGACAACTCTGTGAGATGAGCATTATTTATTCCATTTTGCAGGAAAGTTAAGAAATTTACATAATAGTCATATTAAATGGGAGGGTGACAGAGCAGTCCAATACCCCAATCTGTGCTGAATGATGACCCCACAAAGATGTCCACATCCTCTTTTCTGGAACCCATGAATGCTATTTAATATGGAAAATGGGACTTTGCAGATGTGATTAAATTACAGATTTTTGAGATGGGAAGTTTATTCTGGATTATCCAAGTAGGCTCAATGTAATCACAAGGGTCCCCAGAGGGAGGCAGGAGGTTAGGTTGAACAGGAGGATATGTGAAGAGAGAAGGAAAAGTTGAAGTGATGATGAAGGGGTCAGGAGCCAAGGAATGCAGATGGTTTCAAGAAGCCACAAAAGGCCAGGAAACATGTTCTTCCCTAGAACCTCCAGAAAGGAACAGAAACAGTCCTGCCAACATCTTGATTTTAGATTTCTGGACTTCAGAACAGTCACACAAATTTCAGATAAGAAATTTGTGTTGTTTTAAGCCACTGAGTTCATGGGACTACGTTACAGCATCCATAGGAAACAGATGCAGTGCTCTTTGCCTCTGTCTTTCTGGGATCCTTATACCCTGGGACCCAAAGCAGCACCCAACATGCAGAACACTCCATTAATGTTTGCTAAGTGAACTGCTGAAGCAGGAGGAGATTCTCCTCTAAGCCTTCTCCTGCCTGGCACAACCTAAATTCCTGACCACAAGAATCCAGCCTATCTCAGAGAGAGGCAGGCAGGAGTAGCCCAGGTATATCTGGGTTGGTATGTCTTTTCTTTATTGCTAAGTTGTATGGATGAGCTAATTATAGTCTGAAGTGTATTCTGTGTCAGTCATTGCACCCCTGGAAGACATGACAAAATATAACCCTAATTTACAGCTGTGATTTAGAGTTCCATGGGTGGAGGCAGGTCAAAGGAAGAGAATTATCTATTTTTCTATCAACAACTTATGACTTTTTTTCCTATTTTCTACAGTACTGCATTAGGTATCACAAATGATCCAGCTGAAATTATAAGCAGTAGTAGTAAAAAGATGAGCGGAGATCATATTTCACACTTGAATTCCTCTATAAAGGTATTTCATGACAAATTGAAGCAAGAAATACACACATATATATGTAATACACATAACTCCACCTTTTCCTTTCTCTGAAACCATCCTTGCCTGCTCTTTAAACAAGGAAGTTAATATTTTCTATGTCAATATTCATAAGGGGACATTTTTCCAAATTAACAAAATCAATATGTCAGAGGCATTCAAGCCAGAGCGACTGTATCTTCAATAGGGGCTGGGTAAAATGATGAAACCTGCTGGGCTGTATTCCCAGGAAGGGAGGCATTCTTAGTCACAGGATGAGATCAGGGATTTGCACAAGATACAGGTCACAAAAGACCCCACTGATAAAACAAGATGTGGTAAAGAAGCGGGCCAAAACCCACCAAAATCAGGAGGGAGACAAAGACGACCTCTGCTCATCCTCATTGCTTATTATACGTTAATTACAATGCATTAGCATGCTAAAAGACACTCCCACCAGCACCGTGATAGTTTACAAATGCCATGGCAACATTGGGAAGTTACCCTATATGGTCTAAAATGGAAGAATCTTCAGTTCTGGGAATCCCCACCCCTTTCCTTGAAAACTCATGAATAATCCATTCCTTGTTTAGCATATGATCAAGAAATCACCATAAAAATAGCCAATCAGCTTTCTACTAAGCTGCCATTCTTTTGCTTCTTTACTTCCCTAATAAATTTGCTTTCACTTTACTCTATGGACTCTCCCAGAACTCTGTCTTACACAAGATCCAAGAACCCTTTCTTGGGGGTCTAGTTTAGGACAACTTTCCAGTAACAAATATACCCTAAAGCTTAGCTGCTTAAGAAATGAAGCTGCTTTGGAAACTTGGAAATTATTTAGATTTCGCAAATGGCTCATGATGCCATGCAGGGTTATCTTCCTTTTGGTATCCCAGTTTCTCTAGTCAGTGAAAATCCTACACTTAGAAAATAGAAAGTTCAAAACAGTTTCTGATCTTTTAAAGACACATACTATATAAGCAGAAAGACAGTTACAATCTCAACTAAAAGCAATCATTTACAACTGAATCTCAAATTCATGTTTGTAGTTCATAATCTATTTGCAGTTGACCAAGAAGGTAAAATAAATTATTGACCAGGCGCGGTGGCTCAAGCCTGTAATCCCAGCACTTTGGGAGGCCGAGGCGGGTGGATCACGAGGTCAAGAGATCGAGACCATCCTGGTCAACATGGTGAAACCCTGTCTCTACTAAAAATACAAAAAATTAGCTGGGCATGGTGGCATGTGCCTGTAATCCCAGCTACTCAGGAGGCTGAGGCAGGAGAAATGCCTGAACCCAGGAGGCGGAGGTTGCGGTGAGCCGAGATAGCGCCATTGCACTCCAGCCTGGGTAACAAGAGCGAAACTCCGTCTCAAAAAAAAAAAAAAATAATAAATAAATAAATAAATAATTACGGAGATGTAAGCTAAGATCAGTCATTGCCCTTAGTCTAGAACTTCTGATTAGATAGGTATCTCCCATGGCATTCCCCAAAGCTCTAAGTGGTCCTGAGTAGCTTTAGAATCTGAATAAATCACACATACTAGGGGTCCATGGAGACCACTAGAAACTCAATTTATTTGTGTCCTGAGGCAGGATTTTATTGCTTCTCAGATTAACAGTTAAAAAACGTTTTGCTTTACTGCCTCAGGGGTATTCACTGCTGTATGACGCAGGCAGATTATTAAATCTCTGTTGCCTTCCAAAGATGTAAATTAAACCACAACACTTCCTTAGCCACCTTCCGTTTATGAACTGCTGATTTATTATTAACTTGTCACACTTGCATGCTCATCAAAACAACCACCTATGATTAATTACTCCTGTTTATTTAAGGGTGCTTGTCATTTTAACTTTTTGCAGACAGGATATTACAAAGTCTCCTGATCTCTTTGCAGAACAGTAGCATGAAGACGTTTAAAGGACTAATAATTTCTATGGATATATTTTAAAAGAACAGTGGCATGTATGTAACTATATCTTTTCTATTCATTTTAAATAAAGCTGCACTTCATTTTGGCTTCCCTTGCCTGGTCACAAACATCACACTGGCTGATTTTGTCCATTTGGACATCTCCGAAAGACTTTGAAGTGGTCTGACATTAAATGGTCCAACATAAACTCTAAAGTTCTTGTTTCAATTTTGTCACTCACAATTCAATTTAATGAAGACAGCATTTATTTATCTTCTAAGTGGCTGGCAGCAAATGTGGATGTGTTCATTCATTTCTTCATACAACATTTATTTAATGTCTTTTATGTGCCAGTAATGGTAGCAGGTATATTGTTCACTGTTAAAAACAGTGAACAGTCCTTTCCTCCACTGGATTTACAGGCTTGTTACTTCCCTTCCCAAGACATTTGTCTCTACATATTATGAGCAGGCGAGAATTAAATGAGAATACCAACCTGGATAAAAGGGAAGAAAACCACAGTGTTCTCCCTCCAAAGTTTGCACCGAATAGACAGTAAGTTGAGTCAGGTTTAAGAAGACCTCTCCAACGCTCATTCCCACATACTGGTCCAGGGTGGGTCTGCAGGACTGAACTGCATTGAAACCATGGCCTTTCACCTCTTTCTATTCTCCTTGACCTGTCATATAACAGATCATCTGGTTTGCTGAATAATCATTGAACCAAAAAGTTTTCAAATGAATTTTGGAGGCACAGCTACCTGGCATCTCTCTCTGCCACAAGAAAAATTCACCTTTCTAGTTTAAATGGTAGGATATCATCATCTTTTGTTTTTTTGTTTTTTTTTTTAAGATACAGGTTCCTGATCAGATCCTTGTCTCTCTTTAAAAGTTTTTACTATCTTGGGAGGCCAAAGGAGGAGGATCACTTGAGGCCAGAAGTTCAAGACCAGCCTGGTCAACATATCAAGATCCCATATCTATAAAATGTAAAAAATCAGCCAGGCATGGTGGTGCACATCCATAGTCCCAGCTACTCAGGAGGCTGAAGCAGGAGGATCACCTGGGCCCAGGAATTTGATGCTGAGTGAGCTGTGATTGTGCCACTGGACTCCAGCCTGGGTGACAAAGACTCTGTCTCAAAAAAAAAAAAAGATTTTATTGCGGAAATTGTCAAACACACACAAAAAATTGTCACAGCCTGGATGACAGAGTGAGACTGTCTCAAAACAAAAAGGTTTTATTATGGAAACTGTCAAACACACACAAAAAATTAGATAATAAAATAATGAATCCCAAGTACCTATCACCTGGTTTCAGTGATTATTAGAATTTTGCTGTTCTTGTCTTTCTTTACCAACCACCTTTCTCTCTCCCTCCACTTTTCTTTTTGTGTTTGAGTATTTAAAAATAAATCTCTCCTATCATATCATTTAACTTCCAAATCCATCAGAACATATCTCTAATAAATCAGATTTTAAAAACACAACTATAATATCTAATAAAATAATAATTCTTGAATATCTTATAATCCCTAGCCCATGTTCAAATGTCACTGATTCGCTTTAAAAAAAAAAAAAGTCCTTTGGACTAAAATAGGATCTAAATAAAGTCTACATATTAGACTTGACTGATATGTCTTTCACTTACACCTTTTCTCTCCATGTCCTTTTGAACATCCCCAAAATGATCTTCAATATTTGATTTTTATCCAGAATAAATAAATCTGTCCAAACCTAACACATGCTGCTGGTAAAACCTCATTATATAATATTTTCAAGGACAAACTACCAAAAGAAAAGGTGATCATACAATTTATCATGCAAATGGAGAAAATGAGTGAAAAATAAGTGCTGTTAATAATTATACTGGTGTAAACCAGGACGAACAGGTACCCTCCAAATAGAAGATATTAGGGGTAAAAAGGAGGATCGGGTTTCTGGATTCAACTCTGGACCTGGGGAGCTGGAAAAGAGCTGGAAAGAATGTCTCTGCCACACTTAAAATTCGAAAAAAAACGTTGAACAAACTGCAAGTTAACAACTTTTCTTGGATTCCAAAGAAGCAGCAGCAACTAGCCCAAAATCAGAGGCGAGAGAAGAGCCTACAGGAAAACTCAGATGCAAGCATTTGTTTACTTGGGGCAGTTGAACACCTGGAAGAATTGGGAAGAAACTGGTGGAATCTGATTATTGGCAGGTGACAGAATATGGCCTCAGATACAAAGGGAGTTTACACCACTCACAGGCTTCTCTCTACAGGCCCTAGTGGGTGCTCACAAACAATGATGGCAACAGTCCTGAAAAGACATGCTTAGGGGAAGGGAGAAGCAGCTGTTGCAGGAACGGCATGGATACCTGCCCAGACCCTTCTTCCCTATCTCCCCTATTAAAACAAAAGAAATACACGAAAACCCAACAACTTCACCTCAAGTGGGGAATAAGGGCAACATACACCATCGCCCTTAGAGCACTCCTGAATACCCCCTGCAGCTTTGAGAAAGAAATCGTTAAAAAAAAAAAAAAATCCTCTACACCTCAGCGAGAAGAAGGAAAATATGCTGGGTTCAGAACTATCACTGGGGAGAAACAGAAGCATGAAAAATTCACAGTACTGAGACCCAGACACAGTGTCCACGCAACATTGAGGCTTAGTCAGAACAACAGAGAACACTTCCTTCACCTGCCACCACCAGAGCAAGAAGCATCATACAGCAACAGCGGACTACTGATGAGAGGGCCCAGAGAGAAGCAAGGACGTGGAGAGAAACTCTCTAGGGGTCACTGCATAAGGAGAAAGTGTAAGGCTAAGGGGTGGCCTGACATTGAGAAAAGCCCATTCAATGAGTTAACCAGCCTTGCTCCTAATGCAATGTTTTGCTAGAAGAATTTGAAGTCTCTGGTACAATGAGGATAGCCCTACAAATAATAAACCCCCACAGCCACCTCAACGCCTGTCTAGGTTGATTCACATTCCACACTAAAAATCTAGAAAAAGAAAAAATGTGCCCTATTTGCAGGCTACCCTATTGTGCTGTCCAGTGTTCAATATAAAAGTAAATAAAGTATGGGGTATATAAAACAAAAATAAAAAGCCCCATAATGCCAAGAGACAAAGCAATCAATAGAACCAGATTAAACTGTGACAGATATTGGAACATTTAGATAAGGAATTTAAAATAGCTATGAAAAATGTATTGATGTCTCCAGTGAAAGAACCGGACAACATGCATTGTCAGACAGGTAATTTCAGCAGAGATAATGAGAAATGTAAGACAAAAAATCTAATGAAGCTGATAGAAATGAAAAACACAGTAATAGAGAGCAGGATTGTCATTGACAGGTTCATCAGCAGACTTAACAGGGCCAAGGGAAGAATTGGAGAACTTAAAATCATCCAAACTGAAAGAGAATAAAGAGTAAAAAATAAAAACAGAACATAGCATCCAGAAACTGTAGGACAATATAAAATGAACTACCAGATGTATAGCTAGAATTCCAGAAGGAAAAAAAGAGAGAGAAATGAGTCAGCATAAATATAAGAAGGGATAATGCCTGATAATTTCCAACATTAGTGACATACATTAAACTACAGATCCAAACCACCAATCAAGATAAATATCCAGCCAGAGATAGACTTATCATATTCAGGTTCTAAAAACACAAAACAAAGTCTTGAAGGAAACCAGCAGGGGTGAAAAGACACATTAACACGGAGAAATAAACAGCCATCTTATGAGACACCATGCAAGTCGGAAGATGATAGAGTAATATTTTTAAAGGGTAAAAGAAAAGGTTGTGTCAACATAGAATTCTCTACCTGGTGAAAATATCTTTCAAAAATAAAGGATAAAAATACTTTCTTGGAAAAAAACAACTCAGAAACTAATTGTCATCAGGACTAAACCATACAAATTTTAAAGAATATTCTTCAGAAAAGTGAAATCTGACACCAGATAGAAACAAAGATTTAGATGAAGAAACAAATAATGAAGCTAAAACCATTCTTAGAAGAAAATTCATTGCATACAATGCTTATATTAAAAAAGAAAATTTCAAATCATTCACTTAAGCTTTGATCTAAGAAACTAGACAAAGAAGAGCAAATAAAATCCAAAACAAGCAGAAAGGAGATTTTAAAATATAGCAGAAATCAATAAAATTGGGGAAAAGAACACAAAAAGAAATAAAACCAACACCTGTCTTTTTTTTAAAGAGATCAATAAAGTTGATAAAAGCCCTAGTCAGATAAGGAGAAGGAGGAGGAAGAAGGGGAGGGGAGAGAGAGGGGGAAAGAGAGTGAGGAGGGGAGAGGGGGGAGATAGAAGAAAGAAAGAAAGAGAGAGAGAAAGAGAAAGAAAGAAAGAGAAAGAGAGAGAAAGAGAGAGAGAAAGAAAAGAAGGAGGGTGGGAAGGAAGGAAGGGAGGGAGGGAGGGAGGGAGGCAGGGAGGGGAGAAAAAGGAGGAGGAGGAGAAAGGAGGAGGAGGGAGAGGCTACAGAGGAGGAGGGGGAGAAGAAAACGGAAATTATGAGTTTCAGGAGTGAAAAAAAGGATGTCACTACAGATGTCACAGATAGTAAAAAGACAAAAGAATATTATGAAAGACTCAATGCCCATAAATGTAAAAATGTAATATGGAGCAATTCCCTGAATGATATCAACTACTAAAACTCAACAAGACAACCAGGAAAGTTATACATCTATTAAAGAAATAGAGTCGCTGCTGCCAGCCCGCGCACCCTGTTCTCCCGCGGGTCCACTGCCGCACTCCTCTGCCTGCTGCAATGGAAGAAGAGATCGCGGTGCTCGTCATTGACAATGGCTCCTGTGTGTGCAAAGCTGATTTTGCTGGGGACGACACCCCCTCAGCCTGTGTTTCCCTTTGTCGTCGGGTGCCCCCCGGCACCAGGGTGTGATGGTGCGCATGGAATCTTGTAGGAGTCCATCAGAAGGACTCCTACGTGGGTGACCAGGCAAATAGCAAGCATGGCATCCTCAACAAGCGAGTGTGGCTATAGCTTTACCACCACAGCCAAGGTTGAGATTGTGCGCAACATCAAGGAGAAGCTGTGCTAAGTCACCCTGGACTTCTAGCCAGAGATGGCCACTTGCGAATCCTTCTCCGCCCTGGAGAGGAGCTACAAGCTACCTGAAGGCCAGGTCATCACTATCACAATGAGCAATTCCGGTATCCGGAGGTGCTGTTCCAGCCTTCCTTCCTGGGCATGGAATCTTGTGGCATCTACGAGACCACCTTCAACTCCATCACGAAGTGTGATGTGGACATCTGCAAAGACCTGTAAGCCAACATGGTGCTGCCTGGCAGCATCACCATGTACCCATGTTATCACTGACAGGATGCAGAAGGCGATCACCACTCTGGCACCCAGCACCATGAAGATCAAGATCATCGCGCCCCCAGAGCATAAGTACTGGCTTTGCATTAGCAGCTTCATCCTGGCCTCACTGTCCACCTTCCAGCATATGTGGCTTAGCAAGCAGGAGTATGAGGAGTCGGGTCCCCTCCATTGTCTACAACAAATGCTTCTAAATGGACTGTGAGCAGATGCATAGCATTTGCTGCATGGGTTAATTCAGAAGTATAAATTTGCCCCCAGCAAATGCATATACCTCACGCTGGCCGCGTGAAACTGGAATAAGCCTTCGAAAAGAAATTGTCCTTGAAGCTTGTATCTGATACCAGCACAGGACTGTAGAGCTTGTTGCTGATTTTGACCTTGTATTCAAGTTAACTGTTCCCCTTGCTATTTGTCTAATACCCTGTACATATCTCTGATTTCACCCCTTAGTACATGTGGCTTGCTCATTTCGTGGCTGAGGCAAGAACATGCTTGTGGCAGACAAGTCTGTGGCTTGCGAGTCTGCGTGGTTAGAAGTCTCTGATCTGTGCAGAGTTTTAATGTGTCAGGGCCTAGTGTTCTGGGATTTCTCTAGAGGCTGGCAAGGGTTCCTGAACCACTTGTTCATCCTGCCAGTCTGTTAGGGTTGGAAAGTCCAAGCCATAGGACCCAGTTTCCTTTCTTAGCTGATGTTTTCCTGCCAGGACACTGTGGGATGTTACTTATCTTGAGTTGGAAGCGGTTTGCATTTACATCTGTAAATGTATTCATCCTTTTAATTTATGTAAGTTTTTTTTGTGTGCAGTTCTCAATTCTTTAAAGAGATGACCACAAATTTTGGTTTTCTACTGTTATATGAGAACATTAGGCCCCAGCGACACATCACTGGGTAAGGAAAAACAAAAGTGCTGCTGAAAAAAAAAAAAAGAAAATTTGTAGTTAAAAATCTTCTAACAAACAAATTCCAGTCACAGTTGGTTTCACTAGAGATTTATACCAAACACTTCAGAAAGAAAAAGCAATTCTACAAAATTTCTTCCAGAAAATAGAAAATACTTCTCAATACATTTGATGAGGCCAGCATTACCCTAATCCAAAAACCAGACATTACAAGAAAAGAAAACTGCAGACCAATATTTCTATGAACATAGGTATCAAAATTCTCCAAGAAATTTAAATCCAGAAATACATGAAAGAGATAATATAACCAACTGGAGTTTATCCCAAGGATACAAAGCAGATTCAACATTCAAAAATTAGCCGATACACCTGGGTGCAGTGGCCTCACGCCTGTAATCCCAGTGCTTTGGGAAGTCAAAAGGGAGGATGGTTTGAGCCTGGGAAACATAGCGAGACCCTCAACTCTACAAAAAAAAAAAAAAAAAGTAGTTTTTTAATCAGCCAATATAATTCACCATCTTAACAGTTTAAAAAGAAAAACCACATGGTTACCTCTACAGTTACAGAAAAAACATTTAACAAAAGTCAACATCCATTCATGTGTTTTCTTTTAATCTCAAAAAAATAGGAATAGAAACATTCTTAATAGGATGAAAGACTTTTACTGAAAAACGCTATATCTAATACCATAATGATGAAAGATCATTTCTCCCTAAGATTAGGAATAAGGCAAGGAATTACTTTCTCACAGTACTCTTACTCAACATCATAGTGGAAGTCCTAGCCAGAGCAAAATGGCAAGAAAATGAAATAAAAAGCAGAGAGACTGGAATAGAAGAAATAATAAGTACACAAATGAGCAACTCAAACTAAGAAAAACAGAACCAGATTCAGTGTTACAAAATGGTGACGGCGGGGGAAGGTGAATGAGGCTAGGGCTAAGGTGAAATGAGGGTCTTTCTGGGAAGATAACTTTTGAGCTGAAATTTCAAGGATACAGAAAAGCCAGCCATGAAAAAAAATTACACACACACACACACATACACACACACACACACTGAATTTGTATGTTATTTTCTATCCAGGATTTTTCAGCTTCTAAACTTACAGTTTCGGAGCTCACTCCTCACTGCCTCTAAGTTCTCCAGTTGCAAAAGACTCTGATCAGCTGAAATCATCTTTTTGTCTTACATTACAGACAGCTGAGCAAACTTGGTCCAATCAACTGGTAAGGGAGAGGGTGGGCTGGAACGTGAGAAGGTCACGAGGTTTAAGCCACAGGGATTAGGCAAGTAAATCTTAAAAGGTGAAGGGGAGCAGTTTAGCAATTATTAACATTTATCTGCAAAAACAAAATTAATAAGCCTCTATTCATATGTAAAAACTGATTGACCAATAAATTCCAAATGGTGAAAACTGATAAATCCAGATGAAAGATATAAGACAGTCATTGTACAATTATTGCACGCTTTCTGTGGGTTTCAAATTTTTCAAAAAATAAAGTTGGAGGGAAAAGAGAAACCTGCATATCTTGCATTCTTGAATACATGTTATAGATGACATAATTTGGAATTCTTTGTGAGTCAAAGCAATTTTAATACAAATGGCAAATACAAAGATTAGAAAACAGCTTACCTGTATGCTATTATATCCCTGGTCTTTGAAATCCTAGTTAAAATTCCTCTGCTATCAGAGTCTGCAAAATTCATTCGCTTAACTGCAGAGTTTACAGGAAAAAAAAATTATTTAACATTATCTGCCATTTCAATAGCACAAGGGCAGAAATAATATTTAAGTAAGCAAAGTACAGGGTAACTCTGGAAGTCTAGTTAATGGAAATTTGGAAAGTAAAAAGCATTAATTACTTGCCCATTATTCTGCTAATTGATTTAGCGACTAGAAATACAATAATACAGCTAATACACACAGACACCAACCTATTTAGCCTGGAATGAATTCCAAGTTTTCTGTACCACCTCAATTTTCACAAGAGATTTAATCAACATTAGCAGAAATATGTATATTCCTAAAACTGACTGTGCTCAGGCTTTAGTAACCACGTTTAAAAACCACAGGTTCTTTGGTGACTAATTAGTGACTATTAGGCCAGGTGTGAACTATATTAATAAAACCAATTTCATCACTGTAATTAAATTTAAGTATAGAGAAGCTAAAAAAAAAGTACTGTTCTAAAATACCTCTGCATTTATAGTGGAGTAGCTTGTATAGGTTTAACTCTCTCTAGCAGATACAATAATTATAACTCTGAACAAAATGTTTTTTGAAAGAAGTTATTGGAAGGTACTGTAGAGAGACAGACCAAAAGGCAGCAGAAACTAGGACCTCTAAACTAAGGTAACTAAGATAGAGGAATATTTGCATTTTAAAGGCTTTTCACTTACGAGTGCTCTCCAGTCTGTTTGCCATGGGAAGGCTAAAATGCAAGCAGAAATCTATAATCCTATTGGCTTATTGAGCCAGATAGTAGAGTTAGAGTCTCCAATAGTAGCTGAAAAGGGGAGAATCCCAATAAGAAGGGGGTCAAAAAAGTAAGAGTTCTAAAATCTCTCTATATTTGCTACCCAATCCTTGACCAACTCTTGAACTACAAATGCACAGAGACAACTATGAGGTTGCCAACAAATGACAACAGCTGGAAAGGCTGAAAAAACTAAGCAGAACTTTCAGGAGCAGCGCAAAAACATGGGAGGAGTCTGAAATTTGAGCCAGCCAAGTTAACTGCCCATATAACAAAAATCCACACCCTTCAGAGTAATACAAGAGATTCACAAATTGTCACAACGTATCACCCATAATAGCTGGAGGCCAAAACAATTACTAGACATGTGAGGAAACAGTACATTGGAATCTACAGTTAGGAGAAAAACCAGTCAATAAAATCTGACACTAAGAGAACCCACTTGCCAGAATTAGTAGAAAAGAAATTTAAAGTCACTATTATAAGTAGGTTAAAAGACTTGAAGAAATATATGATCATATGAAATGAACATAGGTGAATATCAGCAGAAAAATAGAAACTATAAAAGAGAATCAAGTGAGAATCACAGAACTGAAAACTAAAACACCTGAGATGAAAAATTTACTAGATGGAATTAACAGATTGAAGATGTCAGAAAAAATAATCAGTAAACTCAAGGATAATAAAGTAATGAAGAAACCTGACAGACAACATCTTAACCAAGCGATCAAAGTTAACATTACTAACACTGGGAAAAATCAATATCCTGTGCCTCCTGAAATGATGCACTGAAAAGGAAATATTATCACTTTAATGGGGTTTTGCCAAAAATCGATAACTTGAATCAAAACATAAAACAAATGCAAACTGAGGTCCAATATATAAAATAACTGACCTAAACACTTTGAAAATTCCAAAGCCAAGAAGACAAAGAATGGCTGAGAAATTATTCCAGATTCAAATAGACTAAAACAGACATAAAAACCAATACAATGAATGATCATGTATCAGATCTGGACTGGGAACAGTGGGGCAGGGAAGCAATAAAGAACATTAATTAGACAATTATTGCAATTTGAATATGAACTATGGATTAGATAATACTATTATATCAATGTTAAATAGTCTGACTTTGATCATTATACTGTGGGAATATCCTTGTTTTTAGAAAAGGTACACTTAGGTATTTAAGGGTGCAAAATGTCTCCAAGTTTCTCTCAAATGGTTCAGATAATAAAATTATACGCACCCACAGAATGATAAAGCAAATGCAGAAAAATGTAAACAACTGATGAATCTTGACAGAAGATATGTGGGAGTTCCTTGTACTATCCTTGCAATTCTTCTGTTAATTTTAAAACTATACTGAACTAAGTAAGTTGCCAAAAATGGCTATACCCTATTGGAAATCTGACACATGACTACTAGGAGTGTAGATTAGTATACTACTCTGGAAAACTGTTGGTAGTATCTACTAACCACTTGATAATTTAGCAATTCAACTTCTAGGTATATACCTGTCATGGTTTAAATTGTGTCTGCCAAAAATTCGTATGTTGAACTGCTAACCCCAGTACCACAGAATGTAACCTTATTTTGAAATAGAGTTGCTGCAAATGTAAATAGCTGGTATCCTTATGAAAAGAGGAAATCTGGACCCAGAAATACTTACAGAAGGAAAATTGCCTGTGAAAACAAGTTACAGTACTGCAAGTCAAAGCATTCCCAGAAGCTGGGAGACAGGCCTGGAACAGATCCTTCCCTCGTGCCTTCAGAGGGAGGATAGGCCTGGCTAACATCTTCATCTTGGAGTTCTGGCCACCAGAACTGTGAGATAGTAAATTTCTGTGGTTTAATTCAGTTAAGTTTGTGGTACTTTGTTATAGCAGCTCCAGATAATTATTCCAATATCCAACAGAAATACATTCATAGTAGCATCAAATGGTGTATAGAAGAATGTTCATAGTAGCCCAAACTGAAAATATCTCAGGTATCAGGCAATAGTAGAATGAGTAAGTTGTAATATATTTATATAATGGAATTCCATACATTAAACAACATAAATTAATCTCACAAACATTGAGTGAAAGAAGCCAGACACAGACGAGGTAAAAGAAGAGAAGGTTCAGATAGTGGTGAAGGAGGAAACTAGGGAAGACAGAGCTTTAAAAGCACTCTAAAGGTGGCTACACACAAAGTGCATATTTTAAAATCTTTTAAAGTAACACTAAAGGAGAATGTCCTGAAAATATTGTGCTAGGAAAGTTATCTATTTTGGTCCACTTCTACTATCACACAGGAACATAAAAGTTCCTAAAAGCTCAGGAAAATGCATATCATTTAAACAAGAGCCATAGAAAATGATTGCAATTCAACCTATATAGAGAGATATTGCAAGGAAAAGGCAGAAAATATGAGAAACATAACCCCCCAAAAAACACACTAAAAAAAAAGTCACAAGATGGATTTAAGTGATATTAAAGAATTTAGGAAAACAGAAGCTCTAAAACAACATAAATTAAAATAGAAAAA